AGGCGCTGCTCCCGGTCTGAGGGTTCCGGATGTAGGGCACCTTCTGATGGGCAGCGCTCAGTGCATTCTGTAAGTAAATGGCTGGCTTTTCATCTCCCACTTGGCCATCTCAATGTTAGCTGATGTGTGAGCCATCTTGAAGGACGATAGTGCCAAGGCTAGAGCTACCTGCCAAAGCGACACGTCTCTGGCAGCCGCCCGCAAGTTCCACAGCGCTCTCCATCCGTCCCGGGAGTGATCAGCGAAGACATCGTTCACGAAAAGCCCAAAGTTGTCCTCACCAAAGTGCCTCGATGCTTTGCTTGACCCTGACCAGCTGGCATCACCCTCGGCAGCTCTCGCGGATCTTCATATCAACACAGGCCGCGCATCTCGGCCTGTGGCTTCGGATGCCAATGTGAGGCATAGGCACCGACAGGCAGAGGCAGCAGCAGCCAGGTCCAAGCATGATCTGATGAAGCCTTCGCGATTGCAGAAGATGTTGCTTCTTGCCTTCAGATTTCATCATTCGTATCGGGACCCTTGCGCCTCGCATGTTCTGCCAAGCATGCAGACGTCAGGATTTTCAATGGCGACTGCGAGCAACTCGTCGTCGTGGCGGCCTGAGCAATTGTGGGGGAACCTGAGTAAATTCGGAGGCAGACAACAGGATAACTGCATCAACAGGTGAGGCTTCCATGCATGAGTCGTCCTTTGTTGTTTCGTGCTTTTGACTCTTATACTCGTGATATCCTCACTGCGAGGTTAGATCGAGAGCGGCAGGGCATCTCTTGAGATCCGATTGTCTTGAATTGTCTTGCTGAAAGATCCACATGTTATCTGCCAGTAGAGGCCGTCGAAAGGCATGAATCACAAAATTGAAGCAGTAGTAGCAACAACAACAGTATTTGTTTCGAAAATAAGCTATTGAATATGACTTACTTTACATAAGTGGTATTACCATGTTGCTCTAAGAGGAATCGTAACAACAACACTCACACCTGTACTAGCAGCAGTACTAGTTATGGTACTATCGTAGTAGAAAACGTTGAAGTTAAAATTGTCATAGCGACAGTTCTCGTAAGTCAGAAAGAGAAATACCGTCAATACTGGTGGAATACCAAAACTACTTATACTAATTATACTATTGGTGCTAGCATTAGTTTGTATTCACTAGTATTGCAAATTCTCAAAGTCAGAATTTCAGCTGTTACAGTCGTAAACTAGTGGTAAAAATAACAGTAACAGTTACACTCACAGTAATAACAACAGTACTAGTACTAGAAGAAAGTAATACTTCCCGACGAAACTTCCCATCAGGCCAGTCATGGGTTCGTCCAGCCGGCATCCAAGGGTGCGCACTTGTGGGGAGAGTTTGTGTGAAGTAGTGTTTTGGGGTTTCGGGCCTGGGGTCTCAGGGTTTTACAAGCGAAGCGCTTGTAGGGCTGAGGGCATAGAGGAGTTTGGCCCCGCTAGAATCTATACCAGAAGCAGCACAGACATAGTCTACAGGATCCTCAATCTCAGGACCTCGTGAAATACGAGGCCTCGAGTTTAAAGAACGCCCCCGGGAGCCTTGAAGCAGCTATTGCGGGCCGGAATTTGAGTGGTTCTGGTTGTGTGGGCCGGAACTTTTGAGGTGTGTCATAGGGGTATGAGTACTTAGAAATGGTATCATCTTATGAGTCCCCTGTGTGGTTGTAGTATGATATACCCCGAAGTCCCATTCGATTTATCAAGGCCGTCTGACTTCCGAGGCAAACTGCAGCCGAATGGCCAGTTGTGCGGGACGGGCTTGGACAAGGCCGCGAGGGAAGCCACGAAGCTAAAGAACTGTAGAGGCCTTAAATAGGAGTTTGTAGTATATTATACCAGAGTTATGTAAGGACAGCAGGGTTAGTTATATAAGGGCAGCAGGCGGATACTATTGCTGGTTGCAGCCATTAGTTTTGAGCTTTGACACCGATGTCCCAGTGAACTCAAAGTGCCAAGGGAAAAAGAGTGCGAGCCAAAGGGGCAAAGCTCTCAAGCCTAGTCCTCAGACCCAAAGCCACATAAAGCTGGGCTTTCGATCCCCTAGTTACACCCTAAAGCCCTAGACCGTAGTACATCTAAACAGCCTCCCTAAAAGCTTCGAAGCCTCTGCAGGGGCTCCGGGCCGATGAGCTCCAGCGGCATCTGTCGGCGTGGAGCGTCCAGAGCTTGGTTTGTCTGCTCTCTAGAACGGAGCACTTGCCACTTTCCCTCTGTTCGTCCTGAATCTGGGCCGTATTCGTCAAAGTCAGCTTCCTTGACCCAACCTAGAACATCATCATACCGAGTTTATGCAGAGCCCTGCTTGACAAAGGTGTCCACCCGAAGCAGTGGCAGCAACAGCAGCGATGATCTCAATAAGGAGAGGGCCCGGGAGAGGTTGCCGCCATGATCGAGGCTTTGAAATTTCGGGAAGGGTCCTGGTTTGGGGGCTCTCTTACAGAAGATCGTTCTTTTCAGATGCCAGTGTGCAAGCACGCCGCAGCAGAAACTGCGAACCTTCTGGCCTTCAGCACAAGAAACATACTTTGCTCCTTTTTGCCAGTTCGAGAGTGACGACGAGAAGCGTCAATCCTCGACAGAGGACGGCCTGGCACTCAGTGGGGATGGGGTTCCAAACTGACAGCTGCGTTCGTATCCTGAAGCGCCAAGCTGCCGTGGGGAGTGACCGGGTAGTGGTTCAGAGTGGAAGCTTCTGGTACCCTGGTTGCGAGCAGGTGCGCTTGATTCGGATGACTCCTCCGAGGCTGGATGCTGTGAGAGATTGGGGTATTTAAGGCAATTTAAGGGTATTTAGTTATGCGCTCAAGCCTGAGAGCTTTAACAGACAGCTCCGTGGCGCAAGCTGCAGGACTCCTCTTGGGAAACGGCCTGGGCCTCGAAAGTCTGCACAGACAGTAAACGTATACCGCACGTATACATACCTCGAGGTCCATGCATGCAGCCGCACACACGTGAAGATGTTCGCACTACCGGATCCAATAGGTGATCCTGCACACAGATCCGAATGTCGAAGTTCGTGCTGATTTTGAGAAACTTCAAGGCCGAGAATGCCTGCAGCTAGAACCTAGGCATGTCCAGACAGATGGGTTCCTTTCAGGCTCGCCATAGGTGTCTTCTCTCCTGTCCAACTCGGCTGAGGCGAGCGAAGGGGAGAGCTTCGAGGTCTGCGCACGTCCCCATTAAAGAAACCCTCCGTTTGTTTTCGGGGTTCTTTTTTGAGGGCCCTGGGCCTGGGCTACTGCACAGTTGAGAAAGTGACGGGAAGGATCGGTTCCTGCGGCTTCTGATAGTTCCTTGCAGAAAGCGTGTCGTGTCCAAGCTTGCTCTGACACTGCCGTGCTTTGCTCTGGCGCAGCTGGGTGTGGGCCTGGCTTTCTGACCAACATTCTGCTGCGGTTGCCCGGTTTTCAGTAACTAGTTAGTTAACTAAGATTGAAAAAAGTTGCGCGCTTGATCTTCGGAGCTCTAGGTTCCAAGCGCACTTCAACCTCCCCCTCCGCAGGAAATCTCTCTGGACTCGGACTTTGTTTGCCCGGCCGGGACCCCTGTGGGTCGGGCCTAGACAGAATGCCGCTGATGCAAGCGTATGCGAGAAAATGCCCCGGTTGTGTACACTTGTTTGCATAAAGGATGAGGCATGCCAATGCCAAGGTAGGTCAGGTGTGCAGGTAAGTCGGTGTTTGACTCCCTCTCTCTCTCTCTCTCTCTCTCTCTCTCTCTCTGTCTCTCGATCTGTCATTCCCTTTCGTTGCGCGGGTGGTCATGCTGCTATAGCTGCTATAGGCTATGCAGGCTATACAGACACACAGATGCCTGGTCCGGGAAGGGGTGCTAAGAGAATGCATCATTTTTGAGCGAGTTGGCCGTCAATGCAGTGCTGAGTTTTCGAAGACAACCTGCACCTGTCCCCGAGGTCACCTCACTGCTGCGTGAGTCGCCTCCCACAGGTCGGTACTGGGGTTGGATGGGGTCGGGTGAGTTCGAAAGGAGTGAGGGGCTGCAGGATCAAAACCTTGGTGCTGTAGTGTTTGGGCTTTCAACGGCCGCTGGATGATTTTTGGGATTCGGGTGGAAGTGGCTTCAATTTGGATCTCGGAAGCTTTTCCGCCTTGGACGGTTGATGTGGGTCTTGCCGTTAGCACTCTTTGCCGCAGGAGTTCAGCACCACCGACTCCGCTGCCACCCAAGGCTCTTGCCTCAACTGGTTCGGGGTTTCAAGTTGTTGCTGAACCTGGGTGGTTTCGGCATTGTCAAGTTTTGCCTGCGATGCACAGATGTCGGCAAGGCATTCGGAAGAAAAGCCCCAAATGGACAGGACTGCCTGGTTAATGCCGTCCCCAATCCTCGATGCCAGCCCTCTTTGGAGTTTCAACTGCTCGAAGCCCTACATTACAGCAGGCAGTCGCGACTGTCTCCTTGCAGGAGTGATGGGTTTTCCAGCTCTTCTTTGGCTTGGAGGTCTGCCAGCTCAGATTGCCGCCAAAAGCAGATTTAGGACTGTTTTTTGCCGTGCAAACGCCACTCAAACCCCAACGTGCATCGTAAACACGGAAGATAACCTTGAGCTGACTCGTTTTTGATGTGCTTCTTGCTCAGCGGCGATTGCGGCTCCAATCAGCATAAAGACGACTCGTCCATTCGCTGAAAAATCACACGGCAATACGAAGCTATCACAGTCACAGTCCTGGCTGTCGAGGGCATGTAATTTTATGCTCTGTACATCTCTGCACTGTCCAACCTTCTATATATGTATATATAGCCCCAAAGTACAGTATCGACGTTTGCAACGGCATGGACCGTCCAGAGCGGCCCGCGCTTCCGGACGAATGCGAGCCTTTGCTGACAGGTAACGTTCGAGTTTCTGCAGGGTCATGAAGGTTGCTCTAAATTCGGAGCACGGGTACAGAAGCCAGAATAGCCCCGGTTGATGAAGCCAAGTGAGAGCATGACTCTGCGCTGAGGGCGTGAAAGGCTGTGGTGGAAAAATGAGCCCTCACATGGAATGGATGGAGTTGGGGCTCTTCAGGATTAGGTGCGCCAACAAAGGCCACTTTGGAATCTCGCACCTTGGAGGCATGAACCGAGATTTCCGTGGGTTTGCCCCTTTGACTCGGCATGCAGTCTGATCATCTGCCCGGCATGTTGCCATGAGGCCAGGCCATCCGATCGAATGGAGCTGGTCTGCCAAGATGCCTCCAGTCAAGGCGACAAGTCTGAAAAAATCACATGCCGCGAAGCCAGAGGCATATCAATTGTCGTGAAAAGGGGCGTGGATGTATGGATTTGTTTTTTGGGGGATCATCGTAGTATACGAGGACAGAGAGGCTTGGGCGCGTGGCCTCCGCCAAGAGCTGGCAGATGCCCGTGGACTTCCTGCCAGCGGAGCAGCTTCGCGTAACAAGGTCAGAAAAGATCCACCGCCCCAAACCGAGCAGCAGGTTAACCTTGAAGAGAAGGCGATAAAGGATGAGACAGACAAGCAGGCAAAGAAGGACAAAAAGGCAAAGAAGGACAAAAAAGCAAAAAAGGAGGACCAGGGGAAGAAGACCAAAAAGGACACCAAGCGCAAGAAAGACAAGAAGAGAAAGTCCAGCTCAAGTTCAAGCTCCAGCAACGAGAAGCCCACCAAGGGGAAGAAGACGAAGAAGGTCAGTTCCAGCTCAAGTGATTCGAAGCCTGCCAAAAGGAAGAAGAAGAAGCGCAGGTCCAGTTCAAGCGATGAGAAATCTGCAAAAGGCAAGAAGAGAAAGGAAGCGGCGCACCAAGAGGCCAGACGGGGGAGTTGAGCATGGGCATTTGCAGTTTTCGCTAAGCTCCAAGTTCGTGTGTTTCATGATGATGATGATGATGTTGAGCAACATGATGCCGAGGACGGTAGGTTTGGTTGATCAACAAGGCTTAAGAAGGAGACCAACACCTGAATTGGTTTTGAGTTGTGTTTAGAAAGGGTACTCCTCCCGCTGATCCTTTTACTGGCACTGTTGCTGCTTGCAAGCAGAACTATCACCGCGAAATGTACTTCTGCTCGGCTCCACCTGTTGTTGCTCCTCTTGCTCGCGTTCCCGCTGCCGCTGTTGCTGCTTCGACTTCTCGTACTCGTCATAGAAGCAACGGTTCAGACCTGTTGTCGGATTCCTTCATCCAGAGCCTGCTGCAAAAACTGGGAGGTTAGTTCTGATTGCCCGGATCCTGGCAAGCCAGCATACGCGGGGTTTAAGGGGCAACGTTTGGAGGCTGGAGTTCCGAGTCTCAGAAGTGATTGTGTTGATCAGATGCGGGGACCCTGCTCGGAGTATCCAACCTGATTTTGGCACCAGCGCAGGGCGCAGTGCCTCGATTTTTCCACAGGCGCCAAGAGCATCGGCTGATGCGGTGCATGCGGAGAACGGTGGCCCGGCTCTGACATTCAGAAGGACAGCAATAGCAATACCTGAATCCAGAGCGAGTGCAGTTCGTACCACCAGGACAACTAGTGAGATTACTAAGTAACTAGCAGCCTAGCAGAGTAATAGTACTGAACACCTATGGCGTTGGGCCGGAGTGCTTGCATGCGGAGGCAGAAGGATGCACACCTCTTGAAACGTGAATCCGTGCAACCGGGTGCTGACGTGCGACCCTTCTCACAAATGCTTACACAGAGGCGTAAACCTCTTGCAGCAGAGGAAGGTTTGGACATATCATGTTTCTACTATACTCATCACACCGTTATAGGGTCGACTTGCACGACTTTGGACGCGGAGGTTGAGATGGCAACCGATTGTCATTGAACCACATCGCGTGGGGCTGCTGCAACAAACTCGAACCAGCGCAGCCTATAGGCCAATAAGGCCCCTGGCAACAAGTGCATGTGCCGACAAGCACGCAGCCAAGGAAGCTCTGTGGCGAGCTCCAGACAAACTCATCAAACTCCGGCGGCTTTCAGAGTGAGCGGCTTCAAGACCCCGGGCATCAACGGCCTCTACAGGCCAGGCCGGTCCGTAATTCTGATTTAGGGTTTAGGGTTTCTGATCCCTGAAAGTCAGCAGAGGGCAAGAGATCAGCGCATTGCCATATTACTGTACGAGGTCATCAGGCGACGCGCTGCTTCTGAATGGCGGGCACATCTTCACCATGCGTCCTAGAGTCCGATCGCTCCCATAGGCCATCCTAGGTCCACTCTATTATCTATCGTTTGGATGACTTCGGTAGTTGTTCCCTAGCTTTGCACTTTGGAAGCATCTGGATCTGGGTTTTAGCACAGCTCTCCCGAACCCTGACGACGTGCACGCTGTCATTGCGCGCTATCTTATGATGGTACAACAGGTGGCGGCGGAGGTGGTGGTGGTGATGATGATGAGGATGATGCTGGTGATGACGTGATGCTCACGATGAGGAGAAGGAGGAGCAGCAGGAGCAGGAGCTGGAGTGCGGAGGAGAAGGCGGTGTTGCTGCTGACGAACATGCAACAGCCATGGTGACATGGTGGCCATACTGCCCCCGCAAAAATCTCCCTGTGCAAGCTTGGAGGTTCCCCTGAATTCGATAGTAGATAACTCCTGAACTGTTCTGGATACAGCAGGCTTTGCCCGGACAAGCTCACGCCAGATGCTGGCGGCCGTCCGAACTTCGCAACATTCTGGAAGGCAGGCTTCACTCGAAGCTAAACAGTGATACAGGCCATACGCATCACAAGATAAACTTTCCTTTATTGCATTGTCAATCTTTTCGCAGCATGGTTCGCAGACAGGATCGGTGTTTTATTCACTGATTTGCTTGGTCATCGTCAGTATGACCATGCCTAGTTTAGTGCCTTTGCACGGCTCGCACCGATGCCACTGTCCTCATTAAGCATGAACCACGCATTTCTGGCGAGACAATGAGCACCATCATGAAGATGATGGCGACAACCATGACGACGATGATGGTGACCATCAAAACAACTCCACAATTGTCATCAGAATCGCCATGGTGTATATCCAAAACTAACCTTCGCAGTTGTCTTGGTCGTCAGTTGTAGCAGCAGCAGCAGCAGC